AAATTTTAAGTCTTATTTTAGGGAAAGAGACAATTCAGAAGCAGGACCAAGAAGATTGATTTGTATCCATCAGAAAACTGGTATTAGTACATTACACACACACACAAAAAAAAAAAAGGGTCCAATACAGATAATGGAAGAAATCCCTGAGCTTCAAATATGAATAAAGCAAGTTCAATTGTTCATCCTTACATGCAGTGTCAGTACTAAAAATAATGATCATTAACTATAGGATGAAACAAAACTTTAAATAACTCAAGTTTTATGGGATGAAATGAAGAAAAACAGAAAATAGGTGTTCTACACCAACAGGATAGGAGCAATCACAACCGTGAACATTTTATAAATAACTCAAGTATTAAGGATCATTATTGAGTTTAACCTTAAGTTTCCTTAAGATTAAGATTAATCTTTGCAGTTTCACATCAAAGAAGTGCTACATTATTTTATTCAATTTATCTATTAATCTTGATAAAGATATAAACCACTCACAAGCTCTGCATAAAACCTTAAACATTTAGGGAAGTTGGTATTTGCCACTCCTACTTTTCTTTATTTGATTAAATTTCAGCACGAAGTGGGTTATGCATGTCCAGCCTAAAGGGCACCTTCTGTGAGGGGGCATGTTATGGGTGCTAAACTGTTCAACTACTTCTGTATGAAATACAAATTTTTACAGTAGGTCATACATTTTACACATTAAAATTAGTCTAAATAAAGAAGTTAGCAGTGTGTACCAACAACTGTCAACAAAAGAAACTCAAAGTATTTTGTTTTGAAATCCAAATGGAGAAAAATAATAAGATCATAACAAGACAACAGAATATTAAGTTCTTTAAATACAAACATAACTTTTTCTATCAATTCCATTCACTTTTAAAGGGAAAAAAGACTGTTTAGATAAAATTCTTCATAAGCACTTCTAGGGGAAAAAATAAAATAAGTTTCTCTAAAAACTAAAATTAGCATATACAAAGCTAATTTAAGGAAGACATCTCATATTAGCTTCACCACAATTTTTTTTAACTTGTGTATAAACTAATTTTAGCTTATAAAAAAGTTTATCCCATTTTTCATTCTTATTTTCTTCTCTTATAAGTGTTTATGAAGAAGTTTATTTAAATAGACTCATAATTCACAATCATAAATGAGAATTATATATCATAACACTCTTAGGTTTTTTAGATGCCTTTATATCACAACATAATAACATATCATCAAAGACTCAACTCATTTCTATTTCTGTGGCCATAGAACATTAACTTTAAATTGACAGTGAAAGGCTGCGTCTCACAACTCTTGTTGTGCAATGCAAATACTTACGGTTTCAGGATTTGGGTCCAAAATTCTGTGTATCAACGCTTTTGCCCCCACAGGAAACCAAGGAGGGCATGAAAACTCTGCTTTCTCAATCTGAAAAAAAAAAAAAAACAAACAAAACAACCAAAGAAGAATCATCACAGTCAATAACAATCCAAATTCCATTCTGATGAAAACATTCTAGACTAGCAACCATTAGATAATGCAATATTTCTTGAGCCTTTGAACACATTATAGAAGAGTGATAATCACAAAAACTCATAGCTTGTCAGAACCACAGACAGCACCTAGTAAGAGATGAAAGAGACTAATGATGAAAAATTCTCATTTTTCATTTCTCACTCGGAATTCAGTGTCACTTTGCTGTTTTGGATACTCTTTCACCACATAAAACGAATAGATAATTTTTTACCCATAATAGCAATTGTTTACTATTTATTATCATGTTAAATGACTCAAATAATAATTGATGTATTTCAATATATGCAAGATAAACATTTTGATTTTGCAATACAATCTATTCTGCAGTAAAATATATATTTGACATGTTTAAATTCATGCCTTACTATATAAGGTGGTTAGATCAAGCTCATCAAAGGGAAGATATCCAGCCAGTAGGACATATAGGATAACCCCACAGGACCAAACATCTGCAACAGCACCGTTGTAACCCTTATGACTGAGTACCTAAGGCCACAAAGTCAAATGCAAAATACAGATGCCAGCATAAGAATAGTTAGTATCTGCATTTGACATAAACTGAATAATTGAAATTTAACTGAACAAGCTAGACTTTGTATTTACCTCAGGAGCAACATAGTTTGGAGTCCCACAAGTTGTTCGAAGGATGCTCACCCCCTATGAGAATATTCAAAATTTTGAAGCCCTTTGGTATCGTCATATCTTCTATGAATTGAAAATCATATATGAAAGCTACATGGCAACAAGCTCACCTGTTCAGGCAATGCACTCAAACCAAAATCTGAAATCTTTATATTTCCTAGTGAATCGAGTAAAAGATTTTCAGGCTGCATAAGGCAAAAGAGAAAATTAGAAGTTAGACGAAATCAAGATAACAGACAACTTTTCACATCCCACTCAAAGCAAACCTTTAAATCTCTGTGATAAACTCCCTTGCTGTGGCAATAATCTACACCATCAATAAGCTGTTGGAAATATCTTCTAGAATCAGCTTCACTGAGACGTCCATGGTGTATCTGCACAATTATATTATTTACCATCAAACATCTCCAATATCTTGAACGGTGACAATAAAAAGGTTCCCTCTTGAGCTACTCACAATTTTATCAAACAATTCACCACCCGTGATGAACTCCAATATGATATAAATCTTAGTCCGGCTAGCTAGAACCTGAACAAAACAATGTTTTACAATGAAATGAAGTGCTTGCGAGAAGCAACTAACGAGAGAAACATTATAATGCTTTATCAGAACAAATTTTAAGTCTTATTTTAAAAAACATATTTAATCAAGGAAGATTCACAAAATATGCTTCCAGAACTGTTCCTTACTCGAAAGTCCACACCATCAAAGAAAAAGAAATTATATAATTCTGGTTTTACTCGTACTTGCCCGAAAATACTTCTAAAAACGCACTTAATTAACATAACACTGTCAATATTCCATACTTAATCACGATTCGAAATCGGACCACAATTACAAAAAGGCAAAGAAGCCCTTGATTACAAAAATAGAAAGCAATTATCGCATGCCTCGTGAAGGCGGACAACATAAGGATGCCTAACGAGCTTCATAATGGAAATCTCCCTCTTGATCTGCATAATAATAGAAAGGCACCAATCATGAAACTTGAAACATGACAGGGAAAGAAAATTAAGCTTATTAAGAATGTTAATTAAGAGTAGAAACTAGTAACTACCTGTTCGACCATCTTGTGCTTGATGATGGTGCTACGGTCGAGCACCTTCATGGCCACGCTCTCGCCGGTTTCTGTGTTCTGAGCGAACTTCACCTTCGCAAAGGTTCCCTCCCCAATCGTCCTCCCAATCTCGTACTTCCCCACTTTTCTCACCACCATCGTTCTCTCTCTCTCTCTCTCTCACTCACTGCATTGCCCACTCTTCCAACCCCAAAACCATTTCACCACTCAAGAATCAAACTTTACTCACAAGCTTCGCACTTTTTCCGCTTTTTAATTTATTAACATCCTTCTTGGCAAGGAATTAGAAAAACGGAAAGAAAGCCCGAAAATAAAAAAGGTTTGACAGCTGGGAAGGAAGGTTGATTTTGGTTGGTCATTTGGGGAATTAAGAAAATTGTATCTAAAAAAGGAAAAAGGAGTGAGTGAGGAAGATAAAAGAAATTGAGTGAAAATGAATGAATTGACAAATGGAAGAGGTTGGGGGAACAGTTTCCGGTGATACGGATGTAGCTGATTGCCCCACCTCCTTCAATTATTAAGTCTAGTCACTAGTCAGTGGTTAGTCCAGACACTGAACCTAGTTTTTCGGCTTCCTACACACAATTCCATTCTTTTGTTTCAAGTGACGTCACACGCACTCAACTTTGGAATTCGGATTGCAAATTGGGGGGGTCACTTGGTTCGACTTTGGACTTTGGAGCTGTCAACTGGTTTTTGTAATCCTAAATTCCACCATGTATTTTTTTTATAATTATTAAATAAAATTAAGTATTGTTGATTTCGGGATTAATAAAATTTTAATATGTGCAATAAGAATAATAACTTTTTTCATTTCTTAAAATGAACTTTTTTAATCTCTTATTTATAAAAGACAATAATGTAATTATTTTATAAATAATATAAAAGATAAAAGATGATATCTCTAAGACTACCATATAAGAATTAATCACATGTTAATAGCTTTCATAGTAAACATCAATATTTACTTAATAATTAATTTTTGATTTGATATAATTATAAAATATATAATTTAATTATTTTTAATTTCTATAATTTATTTTTTTATATTTTAATTCTTATGTTTTAAAATATTTTTTATTTTTTATACATTTTTTCTCTTTTAGTCTTTATTATTTTTTTATCATTATTATTATTGTAATGACATAATAAATATCACTTCAATACATCATTTTGATATGAATTTTTCTAATTTAAATACATTTTTAATTTTATGCTTTTATTTACCGCAACACATGTCACAATATTCTTATAGAAAAACATCATGTGAATGACAAATAAATTAAATGAGCTATAGAGGAAAATAGAAGGTATATAGAGAAACTAAAAAAAATGACATTTTAATCTACAATGACTAATGTTCTATTTGGTTTAGGTGAAATATACGAGAAATAGAGAAGAGATTATGAAAATAGGTGTGTGAAAATGAATGTGATTATTTGATTGAGATGAAGCGATAGAGGAAATGAAATAAAAATTTATGTAGGTTTCATGAGCTTTTTATTTCCTCGCAATTTTGTGTGAAAATGGACAAGAAGCATGTTTGTGACAATGTTATCTCACATTTGTAACTTTCGTGCTCTTCTATTCAACTTACTCTCGTGTTTTGTAAAGATCGCAATGAATTAAACTTTTATTTAATTGATTATGGTTGCACCATGGTATTAAATAGATTGTTGTAATTAGTCAATGGTGTGAATGTAATCTATTATGAGAAATTCATAATTGATTACATTTTTTATATATTGATTTGAACTAATAAAATAAAATATTAAATAATTTTAAAATTTTTAAAAAATTTATGTACTTAATCTATGTATTAAGAATTTTAAATTCAACGATTTGATAGTTTAAATTTAACATAGAACATAAATTATTGAACGAAGTAAGTTTAGAGTAAATAGATCCCTCCTATACAGAGAAAGAAGGGGTCCACTTACTTTAAAAGTGAATATGTTTAAACTTATTTTATTAAATCGTTCTTAATACATAGATTAACTTAACAAATTTTTTTAATAAAAAGTATTTAATATTCTATTTTATTAATTCAAATTAATTTATGAAATATTTGTGTAATTATTCATAAATTTGAATTAATGAAATCAAAGTATCAAATAATTTTTAAATTTTTTAAAAATTTACAAACTTAATTTATACATTAAAACTAAGTCAATCCCTTATTTTTATTTATACATATATATATATATAGATGTACCCAATATAATTGATGATAAATGATAAATATCGATTAGATTTGGTTATTAAGATAACTTATGTAACTCTTTCTAGATGAGTAATTCAGTAAATTTAGTTATATTCTTATTTTTTTAATTCAAACTAAACAATTCAATGATATTATTTTCCTTCTAGTTTCTACCTATTTTCTAAAATTAGATATATAAATTTTTACTTTATTTTTTATATATTTTCACTAACCTATTTAACTTTTCTCTATTTTTCTTTATTATATTTTTCACTTATTTTTTTTACCCACAATTAAATACACCATAAAAAGAGAAAGTAAATACAATTATATGAATAATTAAAGTATTTAAATTATTTAGTCTCCTATTTTTATTTTCAGTTTTAATTTGTATTTTCAAATTTAAAAGTTTTACTTTAATCTTTTATATCATTGTTAGATAAGTTCACACTTTATTAATTTATTTCATTAATTTAATCAATTTAATAACATGTAAATATGCAAATGTTATAATAATTAATAAAAAAAATTGACAAAATAACCGATATGACCAATAATTTTTGTTTTAAGAAAACAAAATAAATCTTTATAATTTGAACAGACCAAAGCAAAAGTTAAATAAAAATAAGTACCAAAATTCATTTTTACCCAACCTAAAAATAATAATATGAGTATTAGGTTTGATAGAATTCAATTGACCGCAATGAAGCATAGATCTTGGTAAGAACTGACTCATCAGCGATGGCGAAAGCCGTAGTCGGAGAAGAAACGCGACTCAGTTCGACGGAGGATCGTCTCAGCCAATCCGCACTTCCCTCAGAGGCACTCATTCCAACGCCACCCCTCTCTCTCTCTCTCTCTCTCTCTCACTCTCACTCCACCATCCAACTCACTAACTAAACCCCCAATTCCATTTTCAGGTGGGTCTTATAATCGGCAAGTTCAGCTCCGCTTTGGGCCGGGCCTTCCTCTTCGATCTCATTCCCACCCCACCCAACGACTCCGCCGAGCCCGCCTCCGCCCTCACCGAGCCCGACAAGAAAAAGGGGCCCAAATCCAAATCCGATTCCTCTTCGCTCTTCATCGACAAGGACTGGGTCGCCGAACATGCTCGCCAGGTTTCCAGAATGCTCGTCGGCGGCATGAAGGTCCTTGGCCTCTATGTTTGGGTTGGCGATGCCGCATTCAAGAATTCAACCATAATGCTTTGCCAGGTGCGGCAACATTAATCGAATTCTTAATCATATTTAACTAACTTCTTCATTGATTATGTGTGTGTCGTGTTGCAGACGGTGAAGGGTGTTGCTGACGCAGCGCCGGTTTCGGGGGTGGACTGGGATGAGAGATTGCTTCTTCACATTTGTTATAGTCCCAGGAGGTAACCCTAATAATGTTTTGGTTAAAATGTAATTTTAGTCCCTTGGTTTAATTTTTGGTTTCAGTTTGGTCTCCTGAATTAAGAAAGTTTCACTTTAGTCCTTAAAGTGTCTCTGTTAGTCAAATTGATCCTTATGTCAATTTTTTTTGGACCAGTAATAGTTTTTCATGTGTTACTAAGTTGATCTAAATAATCTGATAAACTATCGGAAAAACTTAGTATAACAGAGACACTTTAAGGACTACTATGATTTAAAAAATAAAAATAAAAAATTCAGGGACGAAACTGAAATAAAAAATTAAAATGAGATAGCAAAAATCTATGTTAGCCTATTTTTTAGATTTTTTGTGTACGTTTTTCTTTTTTAATGTGATGCTGATGGTATTACTATTGGTGTAGGTGGAATTGTAGAAACTGCTTGCTGTCTTCGAATATTACATCAAGTAGTTTGCGGCCTTGTGATTTTAAAATGGGGAAGGTTTTAGCTTCCCTTCAAACGTTCAAGTGCATGCACAACTTTAACCTGAGGTAACATTCTCACTAATTTGTGATATTAGTTGATAAAAGACGGAAGCTGTTGGTAATTTGAGTTATTGGATTTGGTGTCATGTCTTGCAAGGTTGCCTATATTACGTGACAGTAAGCTTCAGACAATGAGTGATGTTCTTCGTCATGCAATAGCTATTCATGCCAAAGAGCTTACAAGTGCAAAGGCCTTGATTGATGGTAAATTGGTAACTACTCTGTTCCCTGTTTTTCTTTTCGCCTTTTACTTCTAGTTTCTGGTTACTGTTTTATCTCAGTAAAGTATAGTCAGACGTGGGAAGCAATTTGATTCCCCAGTTGTAGAATTTTTTTTCTTCAGTTTTTTTTAAGTGGCAGAGTTGTTAATTCCCTGGTTGTACCGTGTTTACTTTACTCTCCACAATACTGTTTTCATAGCAGTAAATTGGCTTTCTGTGCTGCATATTACATGGCCGAAGATAGTTTTGTCATCAGAGTTTGCTTGATGTGGATATTGAATTAGTGTAATATTTTGACATTGGTCTCTGAATCATTCCTTGATGAATACTGAAAATATATTGTGCTAGATTGTTGATGGTGCAGATGAATGGAAGCCTTTATAATTATAATACAGACAAGTACACTTGTGCTTTGTTATTTTGTTATGGTGTAGGATCTAGTTATTGATTGTTATCTCTCTTTCTTTTACACTAGGTTACTAAATCTATGGTATCTAGAACAAATTATGTTTATAAAATGTCAAAGGTATTACTAGCGAGTGTAACCAGTAAATGATTGCAATACTTGAGTTGATATATTCATTGGCTAGTGCTTCATCAACGCAGTCTGTAAAGTTTGAGGTTCAGACTCATTTAAATATAAGTTGTTACAATAAAATTGCAATTTGTTGATGTTCTGATTGTCTATGACTGATATGGTGGTTAAATGGTAATAGAACGTTAGAAAACCAACCAGCAGAATGATAGAGTACACTCTTTATGCATGACCTTATTTACTTGACCAGGCTTCATTGCTAGCAGCACATTTAACTTCATACTGCCGCAAGTAGGCAAGTTGTGGGGGGCACATGCACAAGATTCACCAAACACACCAAAAATCCTAATCCAAATAATCTTGTGGACAGTCTTAAGTTAAATTCACTGTTATTATCTTTGAACTTGAAGAGCATGGCACACATCTATCTGGTACATAAAATAATTGTATTGGTACTGTTGAGCTCTGCTGTCTTTAAAAAGGACTTAGTTGGAGCTTTGAGTGTGCAAACTTATTTTTTAAATGGGAATTCTGTCTATTAGAAAATACCTTGTAGCCTATTGATTTCCCTGATTTTCAATTACATTTAAGGCAATTTATAAAACTTATTTAATACGAATTTCATTTTGCTTACTGCTTAAGTTTGCAGTTCTATGCTGTTTGGTAATTGTGCAGAGATGTACTAAAGTTTCATATCATCCAAAGATTCCAAAAATGGTCAGACTGCAAATTTATGCCCATTTAACATGCTATCCTGGGTTAAGCTATATCATAAAATTGTAGTACGTGACATAGGCTTGTGCTTTGTGGAAAAGCATCAGTTTTACCCGACATAATACAATATTCATAGTAGCTGCTTTTATCCATGATTCCAAAGTTTGGGTTTATTTCTCCTAAAAGTGTTTTTTTATTACAAATTGTAAGAAATTTATTTATTCTCTATAATTTAGGTTACTGAGAGTGAGTCATACTCATCAGATGGCGTGCATGAAGTTGAATTGCTTCTACCATTTCTTAACAATAGTTCTATTGAAGGTATGTTTGCCTACAGCCATATTTCATATATGGTTATTATTACTATCATTAATTTTCCTGTTGTTTTAAAACTTCATTTTCTAACATTAACAGTTAATAATTTGTAAAGCATGCAGCCAAGGAGATGTTGTTGGTATTCTTTCATTTAGTGGCTTGATATGTTCTTTTGCATATCTGAATTCAAAAGAGCCGATTTCACAAGCTGTCAGTGATATAAAGGTGAGTCAATAACTATCTGTATTTATTCTATTCATGATTTTACCATAAAACTTTTTTCCTTTTATTCAACTGCTGTCTTTATATTGACGTTTGTTTGGAAACATCTGACCTGAAACATGGTTCTTTGATGATACCCCTACTTCAAATGAGTTGATAGAATAAAGTGATAACTCCACTTTCTCTTCCTGATTTTGTCTTATATTGTTGTGTATCACAATTCGGGGTGTAGGGAGATATCATTACGAGTCTGCAAAGTAGATTGGATATAATCTGTGACGAGGTAGATGTTGACTCAGATAACAATCATGATGTTGGAAGCCAAGCAAGCAATGAAATATCAGCTGAAAAGCCTGTTCCCCAACTAGTATTGCACTTATTGAGGTAGGTAATTTGTAGTATTGGTATATCACTCATTGATTATACTTCATTTTTGCTTATGCTTGTTTCTGATGTAATGCCATCATAATTTTACAAGGTTATTGCTTTTTATATGCATATATTACCTGAATCCTTACAAGAATTCTGTCTTTAAGTTTTTGCAATGAGGCTGTGGCAATCCAGTGCATGAGGCTTCCGCCTAGTGGGGTTTAGGGAGGGTAGATATATGCAGGAAATGCAGCCTTAGTTTCTGCAGTTCAGAGGGAGATCTGATTAGCCATTTAGGCAGGTTGTTATTTCACAGTGATTTCCTTGGTTTTCATTATTTTTGTGATCCTGATGACGAGGTTCAATTGATTTCATTGCTAGTTTGTAATGTTTACAGTACATGGCCTATTGTTTTCTTTTCTTTTTTAGTTACAAAGAGGTATATGACCTAGTGTAGAGAGAGGACGGTAAATAGAGCAGTGGCAATGTGATCTAACTGGGATTTGAACTTGGGACCTAACACTCTCCCATGGGATTTCATGCCACACTGCTCTTATAAGTGGATCACCGATTATATTGATACATTTTGTTATTTTGGCTTCCAAAGCTCTGGTTTGTGTGATTAAATCTATCATTTGTTTCTTTGGCAGAAAAGGATGTAGTCTTTCATTTCCTAGAAGAGTCTTTGCACCATGGTTAGGAGGGGTGTTTGTGTGTGATTATTTGCAGCCTTCTGAAACTGTTGAGGTTTGTTCTATTTCTGTAGGGAAATATTAATATTAGGCATTTTGTTTCTTGCTG